CTATAACCTATCAATCTATAAATTCATTGATATAATTCCATCTATTGATATGTTGAGCTTTCTTACTTCGAGTATAACATGTTTTGTAATTGTTCCTTTTTATTCAGGAATGTAGAGCAACAGTGCCACCTATGATTAACTTCTTCTCTAATCAATATAGCTGAGTTTCCTACTATCCATGTGAAGCTCTCCATAACATTGCTAAGGTAAAGGCTGTAGTAGTTTCCGTGTAGTTTGCTTTATTCTATGAGTTATCATCATTGATTCACCACCTCCTTTTCTAATGCTTTACACAAACTTACACAAACTTTAAGCACTGAGAATTTTCAATATAATTTTCGGTTTAGGTAAACTTGGATGAATGCAGGAGATTGGATATATTTGTATTAAAAAGTAACGACGCCACTTCAACTTAGACAAGAGGTCGTCGCTTTGGACATAGTAAGACCGAATGAGAGTCGTTGTATTTCAATTTCTTACTTTGAATGATTGCTTACTTTGAATTACTTACAACAATTGTCAATGTGATACTTTTGACAAGTCTCCACAGACTATCGGCCTTTTTCAGACATGGTTATCTTGAGGTAATATTACAGATCTTATGTAATGAATTTTGATCAAGCAAATGAAGAAAAAATAGCAAGTAAAAAAATTTAAATTTCTAAGTGATGTCAGTTAGAAGCAAATTGTTGCAAATTTGTAATTATCATGTTAATTTTAGGAATATTCAATGTTGTCTCTGGTTTTATTTTGTAGTTTTGTTTAGGGTGGTTTGGGTTTGAAGAGATTTGGTAACATGAGGAAGGCATACTTGACGTTTGAAACACTCCAATTTTATGTGGTCGCTCTTATAACCAAGCACAAGTACGTTGCAATTACCTGTCTTACGTGGTTCTTTATTTTAAAGATAAAAGTCATGAAAAAGTGGAACTATAGATCTTGACGATGATGCAAAAATCACTCATAGTATTGGACAAGTGGATGATGATATTTTCCAACTTTTTATACTATAGAAGCGGTTATGTGGGGAACCAAACAGACATGAGATCATCTAAATTCCGCATGTCCCTAAACCTTGATGGCTTGGTTGGCGATAAGTGAACCGCTTTTGGGAAGCTCCATCACTCCAGATTGGCATGACACGCTTCACCATCTCACCACTCTCTTCTTTAACGGTAATCTCTTTATCTTTCTCCGCTTGGCCTTACAAGTGTTTCTTTGATAGGGTTTGGCTTTAAATTAAGGAATGAAGAGGCCATAACCGTTTTGTGGACCAGCTTAGTAGTACCATTGATAAAACTGTCGTATCCTACTTCTATCCTACAAATACCACATATCTCCTAGGCATTTCAAGTTTCAACCTCATGATCCATCACTTACAAAGCCATGCTTGGAGGGAAGATGTTTCCACTCTGTTTACCCTGAATTCAAGCTTCGTTTCCTAAATTTTCTTAAGAACTTAAACTCTCACAATTTGTAATTACGCATTATATAGAAGTTTCTTATAAGTAAAAAATATCAGCAATGAAACTAAAGGGGTTATATAAAAGGTACAACATTTCTTAAAAAAAAATTTGGAAACATTTCTCAACAATTTTCCAAACAACAACCATGGGTATTCATCTAGTAAAAATAAAAGCAGCAAAGAAGGGCTTCAAACCCTGCTCCTTAAACTTTATATAGGGCACTCCTTCCAAATGAGTTAAAGAAAATTCACATGTAAATTGATCAGTTAAATATTTATTAAGAATCAGTATGGGGCACGTGCCCCACTTCCTTTCACTGTAGATCCCTGACAGTTGGTAATAGTGATGCATTGACAAGAAATTGGTAAAGAGGTTTTATAGAGATTTTAACCTCCTCACCTCTTTTCACTTTTCAATTAAAAGTGTTTCCAGTCAATTGAATTCTCTTTGATACTCCTTAACAGCTCAAATGAAACCACAAAGATAATGTTAAGATATCATTTGCCTGATGAAAAAAAAAATATATCATTTGCCTATAAAATGTCTTTTTTTTTTCTTCGAAGGATATAAGTCAAAGTTATACAGAAGCCGGAAGAAAAACCATTAATCCCCGGAAACATAGCCCAAAAGAGGGAAACTAAACCTTAAGTTACAAGCAAACAAAATATCAGACACGGTAAAAACAAAAAAAAAGGAAGAGAATAAGACCAATACACTAAACTGGCCAATTGTTCAAAGAGGCTCCCACAAAGCTTTCCCAAAGAACCTGTGAACGTCGGACAACAACAATAAGACCGGTAATACCACAAAAACAAAGACATCCTTCCGCAGTCAAAACACTAGCAACACCGACATGAACGAAAACATGATCCAAACGATACCAAAGAACCAGAGACCACAACAATCACGGCATGCCAAAGCAAACAAGAAAATGAAAACACACTAGGAACAAGGAAAGATCTTCAGAAACGCCTCGAGACAAGCCACATAAGACAACCACCTCTTACACGCGAACACTCGCCGACCCAATTTCACCCATTTACAGACATAAAACTGTTGACCTCCTCGCTAGAGAAGAAGTGAAGATCGAATCCATTGTTTCGCCTATAAAATATGTCTAATTTATAAATTTTCCAGGAAAAAATGTCTAGCAACATAATAATTTTTTTTTTTTTGTCTACCACATAATAATGTTTTGAAAAGTGCTCACTCGTGCAATTTTCTTAAGGACCAATTTGCTGAATAACCAAAATTCATAATGAAATAAAGAATATAGCACCATGATTCCATAAATTAAGAAAGTAACTAAAAGGCCTTGTGAAATTACCAAAGTGTCTGGAAATTTAGGGAGAATAACGTATAGCGAGAGAAATAGTGTTGGCTGTAGAGAGATATTCATAAGTACCTCTGTCTCTTTCTTCTTTTTAGAAAATGATTTTCCCAAGTAATTTTGTTTGTAACATTAACTCAAAGTAATGTTGAATTAAAACTTGTAACAAATAAAAAAAAAAACCTTGATATTTTTCTACATACAGCAAGATTTGAATTTTAAAAAACAGATAAGTATTTCTTTAAACAGTAAATAGTATCAACAATAACTAAGAAACTATTCTATATAGACATCTAGATTAAAATAAATATATCTAGATTAAAATAGTAAGTGTGTTCCTCTATTAAATTGTCATTTTAACCAACTAAATTTTAGATTATAAATAAATAGGGAAATTGTTAAAAATACCCCTTTTGGTGTGCCCCTTTTCAAAAATGCCCCTTTTAGATTTCCATTTTCAAAAATGCCCCTTTTTAAATCTGAAATTTTTATAAAGTTTTATTAGGTTTATAAGGTACTTATGGATTGTAACTACTACTTGAAGACTCGATCCAAGTATTTATAAGGTTTTATAAGGTGTTTTTAAAGGTTTTATAAGTTGTTTTAAAAGATTTTTAAGGTTTTTCAAAGGTTTTATAAGATATTTTAAAGGTTTTTAAAGGTATTTAAAATGCATTTATAAGGTATTTATAAAGTATTTATAAGATTTTAGATACATAGAAATGTAGTTTGTGTATGTTTTAATAATATTACATACATATTTGGGTAAATCTTATATTTTTAAGAGCATTTTTTATAAAGTTTTTAAAAAGGGGTATTTTTGAAAAGTGGCATTGAAAAAGTGGCATTTTTGCAAAAGCCCCTTATAAATAAACTAAAGCTCTAAAACTTATGTTTTTACAATTTCTTTGAAAGAATAAGAATGTTAATTTTTTTTATAGAAATTAGTGTTAAATATACGCCGAATATGAGTTATACTTAAGAGATATTATATAGAGAATTCAAATGATCAATTAAATGCAAACCAAATTATAGAAAATTCAAATTGCTGAGTCAAACGCACGTTAATCTAATAAAAGCTATACCCTAAGGGATTCAATTGAGGAAACCAAATGGTCAACTTAAATGCATGCTAAAGAAAGAATACTATACTCTAAGGTGGTGTTATTCAATGATGGATTTTAATAGAATTGAAATCCAACTCTAATCCAGTGTTATTCACCTAATGATTCTAAATCTAACTTTAAAATCTAGTGTTATTGGATCTTATACTTCATTAGATTTTAATAGTTTGGTGTTATTCAACTAAGATTTAAAATACTTCATTAAAATTCAGTGTTATTCAAAACTAAAAGACTTGAAAAATCTTTGTATATCAAATCATTTGAAATGAAACTTCTTTGGAGTTTCATGAGTAAATTATTAGAATCAAAATCCAAGATATACTGTAGAGATTTTGAAATCCATACAAATAGATTCTTAAAAACAATATTAGAAAGCAAATCTAAACCTTAAAGAATTGACTTTAACTCCATGATTGAATAACACCCCCTAAGAAATATATTTAACACTTAAAACCATTCTAAATTATTGACCATTAAAATTGTAGAATAAAATAAATTGTGTTTTATATAGAGTGGCGAATCTTTTTATATAATTGTGTGAGAATATTTAAAATCTCACTAATTTTTCTTGTCATTATTTGTAACTTTCTATAACTGACTCGAGTAATTACTTATAATCTATACACTAATATTTCAATAATTCTATTTGAAAACAGTAATATACTATGGCAACTAATATTTCGACAAATAAAAAATTTACAATAGAATTTTGCTTCCTTTTTTAATATTAATTACTAGTTTTAAAAGAAAAATGAATACAAGAGAGAGTTATGAATTGGTCTGTTTTTTTTATAATTAACTGATGTAATTAAGAGGAAAGGAGACGTCAGGGAAGATATATCACTAGAGGAAGATAAATGATATAGACAAAAGAAGCTGACATAGTGACATGGTAGCAAAGGGCAAAATGGTATATATTATATGTTACACACAAAATATCATAGCCATAAGCGTTATATGGTTACTTAATGAATTATTAAATTTTTGTTGGTTATTCACTGCAATTTCTCTTTTCTTAATTATATTGCTTTCACTGTCAAGTGAAAAAAGAAACCGTTAATGATAATAATCCATTTGGACAACAAAACAATCAGCTCCAGAGAATTATCCAGAAAGAAAACAAATCCTCTTCTTCTTCTTCTCCAAATTTCTCGAATTCCAGTTTCAAGCAATGACTTCTCTGCAATTACACTTCTCTCTTCACTTCCTCCGTCCAAAACACCGTCTCCGCTACTCTCCTATCTTCACTCCCCGCACCTTCCACTTTCCCGGTAAAATCAAATTCCGTGAAAGTTTCAGAATCAAAGCCAAACCTAATTCGTTCCGTTGCTTCACTCAATCGGATGCGAAGGAAGTAAGTTTAGCTGAGAAAGAAGAACGATCTCCGTTTGACATCAATCTCGCCGTTATCCTCGCTGGTTTTGCTTTCGAATCCTATGCTTCACCTCCGGTAACTTCAATTTCCGCAAGCTTTTGATTCTCCTCTAGGCAAAATTAACCAACCTGCTTTGATTCTCAGGAAAATATTGGGAAGCGTGAGGTTAATGCAGCTGGATGTAACACTCTCTATCTTTCTGAGTATGTGAAGCTCTTTTTGATTGCTTTGAGTTTTTTTTTTTTTTTGATATTGAAGAGATGGAATTATGTTTGTTTCAGGTCATTTGTGAGAGAGATATATGATGGACAATTGTTTATTAAACTCAAAAGAGGATTTGAGTTTCCTGCTTTGGATCCATGGGTATGTGTTTTACGATTCTTGAAGCAATGACCTTACTATGTGTATTTGTTTCTTTTATCTTGACTAAGTTATTGTTCTTATTGGTTTTGCGTTTTAGGGAACGAGTGATCCTTATGTAGTGATGGATTTGGATGGTCAGGTTGCTAAAAGCAAAACCAAATGGGGGTAGGTTTCTTTAGCAAAATTTATAAGCTTAGTCACTTAACTAGATGCATACACAATCTGTGGCCTGATCATAGTGGAAGTGTTTTGGTGCAGTCTTATTTTCGATATGATATACAAGTTAATCTTGCTTGTTAAACCCATTATTTACTTTTTACCTTGAATAAAGACTCGTGCCATTGTCATTTCCCTCACTTTGTTTAGTTCATAAATTTTACTCTTGAGGTTTGAAGCAGATTCTTTTTGTTTTATCCAAAAGTTTGGCGCCTTAGAAATCCGTATTTTTTACTGACTGGTATATATCTTAATGTATTATTTAATTGGCAGGACAAAAGAGCCAAAATGGAACGAAGACTTTGTTTTTAATATCAAGCTACCTCCTGCAAAAAAGATAGAGGTAGAAATGTTTCAACTATTGTGGCCTGGTCAACTCTGAATGTAACTGAACACAGACCTTCTAATATATAGAGCCTTGCTTGACTTCCCAAAAATTGTTTAATGAGCTTCAGATTGCAGCTTGGGATGCAAACCTTGTTACCCCACATAAACGGATGGGGAATTCCGAAATCAACCTGGAATCCGTTTGTGATGGTGAGAATTAGTTCACCCAATCATTATCAATTTATTTCATTTACAAGTTTGAGTTAAGAATGAGGAAGAAATTCTGTGTTGTTGTTGAGTATAGGTTTTTAAACTATCAAGTCAGAAATTCTACATTCACTAACAAGAACTAATATTACGACGCTTAGGGGTATAGTAAAATCTTGTGATATGCCGAAGGTTTTCCTGAAAATGCTTCTTGTTTCCTAGGCAATGAGAACCTGAAAATATCCCCTGACTAGAGAAATCAACTGTGGAATAGTTATCTGATGAATCTACTGAGCGTCTAACTTCCGGCTTTTGTCTCTGGTTTATATTTGTTCGTGTTTTGCTTTCCAAGGAAATTTGCATGAGGTGTTAGTAGAACTAGACGGAATTGGAGGTGGTGGGAAAGTTCAACTGGAGGTCAGTTTGTGCTGTTACAGCTTTTTCTCTCGAGTGTTACTTATTTGTGTAGCTGAACAATCTATCCTATATTATTATTAACACCTCAGAGAGAGGTACATTTCAACTTGGTTGGTTGTTGATCAATCAAAGATTAGTCTATGTACTAGTTTGGTTGTTGTGTTAACCATATTAAAACTTTCAGATTAAGTACAAGGGATTTGAAGAAGTTGAAGAAGAAAAGAAGTGGTGGAGGTTCCCGTTTGTTTCAGAATTCCTTCAAAGAAATGAAATTAAGTCAGTTCTGAAAAATTTTGTTGACTCTGAAGCAGTTGAGTCAGTTTTGAAAAATCTTGTTGACTCTGAAGCTGTGCCAGCACGTCAATTTGTAGAGTATGCCTTTGGACAGTTAAAGTCACTCAATGATGTCCCCCTTAAGAATATTAAACTTCTAAACAATGATGCGGAGGACTCTGAAGGTGAAAAAAACTCTGATGATCATTCTCCAGCGGTAAATATGCTTTCTGATGGGGCTAGTGCAGAGGATTCATCCGATCAAGATCGCAGTACTGATCTGAGTAGTTCAGGAAAGCTTACCAAAGATAAAGATGGTGATGGCCACATCAATGAACTGGAGGGTGACAATGAAAATGGCAGCATTCAGTCAGAAAGTAATTTCTGGGATAACATCCCTGACATAGTTGGTCAAAGTATTGTTCAGAAACTTGGCCTTCCTTCACCTGAGAAATTGAAGTGGAACGGAATGGAACTACTGGAAAAATTTGGTTTACAATCACGAAAAACTGCAGAAGCCGGTTACATTGAATCAGGGCTTGCCACTGCTGATACTCGAGAAGGTGATGATAAAAAGGAAGATGGCCAGCTCGCTATTAATGCGACCAAGTCTTCCCTTGCGGACATGAAGAATGCGACACAAGAATTGCTTAAGCAGGCTGATAATGTCTTTGGTGCATTAATGGTTTTAAAGGCAGTAGTGCCTCAATTAAGTAAGGACAGTCTTGGTTCAGAGAAGGTCATGGAAAAAGATGGTGCTTCCAATGTAACAGACGATGTCTCTGGTTCCCCTAAGAGTGAAAAACTCTCTGGTCTAGTGACTGTTGATGGAGCGGATGAAAAGAACGCTGAGGAAATGAAAACACTCTTTTCTAGCGCAGAAAGTGCCATGGAGGCATGGGCAATGCTTGCAACTGCCCTGGGGCATCCAAGCTTTATCAAATCTGAATTTGAAAAGCTATGTTTTCTAGAAAACGACATCACTGACACACAGGTGAAAACTCTTTTGTCTTCGACTAACGGATTCTAGTTGTTTGGGAACACATATGTTCAGGGATGAAGAATCCTTTCGTGAAAATACAAAGTCATGTTAATATGTGACATACTAATATGCAACCTGCAGGTGGCAATTTGGCGTGATACCAGGAGGAAACGAGTAGTAATCGCTTTCAGAGGAACTGAACAGGTAGGTATTTATCTATATCTTCTTAATATTCTGTGCTTGATTTTTCTCTTCAAGTTCTTATTGTCAATATTTCATGTTGTCAGACAAAGTGGAAAGACTTGCAGACTGATTTGATGCTAGTTCCTACTGGGTTAGTATTGTCTATGTGTTCAACTTGACTCGGAAACTACTTAAATCTACACATTTGAAGTTTTAATAAGTTATTATTCATCCCTTTGCTCGACATTTTTAAATATGTTGCAGTCTGAATCCTGAACGAATTGGTGGGGACTTCAAGCAAGAAGTACAGGTATGTCTTGAACTCTGGCATTGGTCAGGTGTACCCTTTATTGAGTTAAGCCTTAATGCTGCTCTGGATTTTGCAGGTCCATAGTGGATTTTTGAGTGCATACGATTCAGTACGGATAAGGATAATATCGCTGCTCAAAATGGCAATTGGCTACATGTAGGTGCTTCTTGTGTTACAGTTTACTTCCTTCTTTTGAGGGAGTTTCTCCTTACCTATTGTTTCAATGGTTGCATCCTCAATGCTGGGAAGAAAAATGTCTTTCAATGGTGAAAGTGCCAAATATCTCTTCTTCGAATGTTTAGTTATAGATGAAGTTTATTTTATTTACTGAGGACAGTAGAATATAGCGATTGAACTTTTACGTTTCCGAGGTGTGCTAAAGTCTTACATCAATTCTAATACATATGCTTCCCTTGGCAGAGACGATGTTGCTGAGTGTGAAGATAAATGGCATGTTTATGTGACTGGTCATAGCTTGGGTGGTGCATTAGCTACACTCTTGGCTCTTGAACTTTCGTCCAGCCAATTAGCTAAGTAAGTAGTTTGAGAACTACCTTCTACAACATATCATCCTGACGACAAGCAGCTTGATGGGCATTTAACATGATTTGTGTATGCTTGTTAGACGTGGAGCAATCACTGTTACCATGTACAATTTTGGATCTCCAAGAGTAGGCAACAAACAATTTGCTGAAATTTATAACCAGGTCATGCTTCTTCTAACTTAACAAGTGGGAGTAAAAATGGCTCGTCAACATAAAATTTCACTAATTTATATGTTTTGCATTCTGTGCTTCCACAGAAAGTAAAAGATAGCTGGAGAGTTGTAAACCATAGAGACATAATTCCTACAGTCCCTCGCTTAATGGGCTATTGTCATGTTGCTCATCCTGTTTATCTCAGTGCTGGAGATGTGGTAAGCCCGCCCTTTCGATCATTATTAATCTACGCAGATCATTTGTTCTTAGTTTTTTCTTGGATGTGCTGTTCTATGCAGGAGGATATTGAGTTCCAGAAAGATGGTTATAATGCTGAGGTGATTGGGGAAGCCACACCTGATATTCTTGTTAGTAGATTTGTAAGTGCCCTAACACCCTTTCTCTGGTTACTTCACATATTTCTTTTGACCATCATTTTAGTTTTAATATTTCTGCTTGTGTTTCTCATGTATTCTGCATATGTTTGTTGTTGGGTTTATGTAATTTCCATAGCTAATAACTTCCTAGGAGCTGCTCCTAATACTGTCCCATAATTATAGGTTCACATTACTAGCAGCTATTTTGTTGTTATAACTTCATAAGCATGTGTGGCATAGACATTTATCAATCGACTAACTCAAAACTTGTTTTCCTGTTGCGTTGTCTTTTTTTACCTCTTCTGGGATTTAGAAGTTTATGTATATTGGTATTATTCAGAAGATGTAGAGAGGCAAAAAAATCTACTGATGAAAAATATTACTTGAACAAGAAAATGAGTGACACCGTGACATGAGATTAATGGTTGTTTTCTTTCAGATGAAAGGTGAGAAGGAACTCGTTGAGAAAATCCTTCAAACTGAAATTAAAATATTCAATGCACTTCGTGATGGAAGTGCCCTTATGCAGCACATGGAGGATTTCTATTACATCACATTGTTAGAGGTATGTTATTGTTCACCCTTAAGCAATTGCTGATAAGTAGTCAGAGAATTAAAGTTATAGAAGATACAATTTCTCAGAGGATAGTAACATCCCTTTTTATTGGTGAAGCATGTGTTGGACCTGTTGGTTTAAGACTGTAAATCATTTCCATATCTTATTGGCATCAAATTTTTTGGCAATCGTTTCAGAGTGTGAAGTTATATTACAAAACTGTTGAAGATCCGAAAGGCGTCGAAAATACTACTATCCAATCAGTGGGAGAGAGCTAAGTGAGAGCATGTAGTGACTCGCTCCAGCTATATAGGATTCACATTGTATACTATTTACAAGAGACAAGCATCCACTGGGTCGCATGAAAGTATACTGTGTACCAAATTGTAATTACTTTACAGTGATCTGTGGTTCAGTCCTGTAAACTTAAACATAGACACGATATCAAAAGGGGACAAGAAGGTTGGAATTTATTAAAATGTGTATAGATGACAAGGATCTCTTTTGTTACCTACTCTAGAATTCGAACATGATACTCTCAGTGCATGCTCGGGGAAACCATGCAGGGAATGTTGTTTTTGGCTTACAAAGATCGTAACACCTCGGCTCTCGGTTGGCTAGTTCCAGCATGATACAAGACTACAGCTGCAGGAGAAGTACGTTCTCTCAATCCTTAAGCTTTCATTTGTTTTGGAACCTTTGAAAATTGTATGCAGTTCTTATTTTTACGTACTAAGTTTCTACATAATCTAGATCAACCTTGACACAACGAATATTAATCTCTGATTATTCACTGTTTTTCTTTTCTAATGGATTTTATTGATGCTGGATACAACTTTCTTTAGCGTCATGAAATAAGAAAGAAATGGCTTACTATGTCTTGAAGCTTACTTTATTAAGCAATCCCTGTGGGAAAGTAATTTGCTATGACTAAAACTGTTATTTACGCCCAATGAATTTTGTTTTGAATACTGGCAGGCTTCTGGTAGTAGATGACGGTGCTTTGTTCCTCCCACTGATACCGCCGAGGATACGCAGACTCTGCCTCAGTAAATCAATCTCTCTTTCCTTCTCATTTCGTTGTTTCTCCATCAAAGCTATTCTTCCCTTGAGTGTCTCAATAGTTTCTCCCCTAACTTTAACTTCCTTCCTCAGTTCTTGCACTATTTCTTCTTTAGGTTTCTGTCTCAATGCCTCTCCTACAAACAACTCATTACTTTCCTTTCTCAAAAACCAAAACCAAAGTCAAAAGATGAGATTAGTTAGGAAACTCTTACCATATGTTGTGTGGATGAGATCATCAAGCTCATTCTTGATAGCAAAATAGAGCTGTTTCCACCTCTCCACGGCTTCTTCCCTCACCGCTCTCTCTAAGCACATCTGTTCCACAACCCATTCCCACTCGTGTTGTTTCACTTTTGCCTCTTCTTTCTCTTCCATCTTCTGTCTCAGTCTCTCCACCTCCTCTCTCAGTCTCTTCCTCTCTTTCCTCCACTCTGTCTCTGCCATCTTCAGAGCCAAAATCACTCTCTCTTTCTCATCAAGCTCTCTTCTTGTTTCTCTCCTTCTCTGTTGTTCGTTTGATTTCACCTTGATGCGTCTCTTACTACTGTTTCTCTCCTGCTTGCTTGTAGAGCCACCCATGTTTTCTTCTCTTTCTCTCTCTCTACCTCTATGGAACTTTTGGTCTATTTGAATGTCTTGTTTGTTTCATTCAATGAAAATAAATGATTATTGTGAATGAAGAAAGCTACACATTGCGGCATTGCAGACACATGTTATTTATATAACATGGTCCAAAAGCATCTTCACTTATCCTAACCACACAACAGTAAAATTATGGAATGTCTTATAACAAAACTAATCACACATAATGGTAAATTATTCTCTTGTGGCTTGAGTTGATTCTTTCTTGTGGAAACTGAGATAAAAAGACAAAAGAAGTTATGGGCACTCTCAGGACATTGTACTGAAATAGGATACAAGAGAAAAGGGAATTGAAGTGGTGTCACAGAATATGAAAAGCATTGTTTCTTCTTCAATCTCCAATTAATGGTGTGGGCTTTGATTGTTTGTCACATGCATCATTAACATGGACCCATACCTATTTACTCCATTTTTTCTTCCCAATATTTATAGGTCTCTCTCAAAATTTTGGTTTAACTGGTCTATAGGCTTCTTCTTCTCATGGATTGTGTAGGTCTTGAGTTATTCTGTGTTTTTAAGGGCCGAACCAAACCGATCAAACCAAATTGTATTACAACCTGAATGGTAAAGAAATATCAACACTTGAATTTTGTTCAACCAAACTAAACAAAATTCATCAAAAAATTAATATTTTGATTAAATAAGTAAAAAAAATTATATTTAAATGCACTTAAATCTATAATATTAAGTAAAATTATTGGTTATTTGACAAAAAAAAATGGTAAAAATATTGGTTATTTTATTTGGTCTAGAATCAAACCAATCCTAAACCAAACCAAAAATAATTCGGTTCTGTTTAGACCCTATTTTCCTAAACCCGAAAAAAAAAAAATGGTAAAAATATTGGTTATTTTATTTTGGTCTAGAATCAAACCAATCCTAAACCAAACCAAAAATAATTCAGTTCTGTTTAGACCCTATTTTCCTAAACCCGAAAAAATCCATTTCTTTAAAAATGAACCAAAGTAAACTCAAAAAATGAGTGTAGATGTCTAAGTTTTTTTTTGGTGGATGAGGATTGAGTAGGTTATGTGAAGACAATGGCTATCTTGAAGCTCCAATTTGGTTTTACTTTAGCTTTGGATCCTTACAATAGTCATTTGTGATTAAGTATGATAAGTGAGTATACCAAACTTTGGTGGTACAATGGTCAACGAATAATAGAGTGAAAGAAGACAAAGAAACAAGAAGAAGAGACATATATCAAATCACAATTGACAACGATAGCTATAAAGTGAAAAAGATAGACTCCTACATGGCTACTACATCAGTCAGAACCATTGCCCTCTTCACGTGAACTTCCCTGTTAATTTGGGTTTTTGTCTTAATCCTTTTCATATCTTAAAGAGTCGTACTATTCTCAATAAACAACCAAAATTCCGTTATTGGCTTTTGTCTTTGTACAATCTCTTAACGACAGTGCCCACTAAGACCAGCTCAGAAGCTTATCAAGGTTGGATTCTGACCGCAACCTTCCAAACCTGCACTATGATTCTGATCCAATTTGTATTCCACCAAGCAAGTAACAATATATACACACACAGTACAAACTTACACGCATATTTTTGTATGTTTTTGTAACATTTTGAGACTTGTTATATTTTTATACAATCATATGATACATGCACCAACCATATCAATCATTTCATCTCACATATATGCATTATTATGCCCTCAAATTCACTTATCTTTCACCTTAAACTCATCATGGACCACTGGTTCATCATACCCACGGATGATGGAAGTGCTGGCCGGATTAGGGGTACACGTTTCACTACTGAAATCGCTTCGTTCCACCGAGCAGCATGATTAGCCACCTTCTGAAGAAGTATTTCATTCAAAAGAAAGACAAAAAAAGAATCAGATTGTGTAAATGTCTTCCGAATTGTGTTCTGAAATACTCGCAAACTTTTGTTCTTTATTTCCATAAGTGAAAGATGAGTAAAAGTCAAGCAAGAACATGAATTTCAGCAGCAAAAGACATATATGATCCGCCAATTTATATGCAACCGTAAGCAGGATTCAAACTCGGGTCCTTATAGATGCTTTGTACCATAGAAAGACCAGTTAAACTACAATTTCAGGTTTCACCACTACTTGTATCCATCTCTGACTACCAAACAAGAAAATGTTACAAAGATGAATCAAAAGCAAATAACTGCTGAAAGGCAAAGTCAGAAACCACATAGTCTATAGTTTCTATAGGCCTTTCAACTATCATTTACCCATAACAAAAGAACATGCATAACTAAAATGTAAGATAAACATGATGTTCAAATCATTAAAGCAGATAAAACCACATTGAAGAAGCAGAAAGAGATGGATCACTCAGGGGGCTTTCTAACGCATACAACAATGCTCTCAGCAACTACAGTTTTGCTTCTCCATACCAAAAGCATCCATCTAGAATTCAACCAGAGCTATATCAAAGAACTAATAACAACGAAGAGCTTACAAAAACACTTTCAAGATTGTGTAAATGGAGTATGAGTGCATGACTGTTGGTGAATACTATGATCATGGGTCGCTGGTTGCATCTAAACTACTTAGCAAAGAGAAAACTCGCAACAACAACAACAACAACAACAACAACAACAACAACAAAAACTGGTCACAGGACAAAAAGTTTAACTCAACCAACAGCACAAAGAAGGAGATTCTGATCTTCTAATTTCCCCCAACAAAACCAACAATGACACTAATAAAACATCTAACTAAACAATAAAAGTTTGAACTATGCAATCTCATCTCACACCAAAAGATCTAACAATAACCACAAACTCATAAATCACATACTTAAAAGAACAATAGCAATCGAATAAACCGAGCTACTTACCTTATCATCCAAAAGAACCTTAAGCTGCAAGGTACGACTCTTCTTCTTCATATTGTACAATCTACGCCCTAACATAACAAACCCCACAAATGCTGCAGCCATGGACAAAGACCAAATAGGATTAATTTTCAACACACAATACTTCAACACCTCTATTGGAATTTTCCACCACACAAAACCCTTCTCTTCTCCTCCTCCACCACCACCACCAGATTTAACACAAGGATCAACAGAAACAGAGTCTCCTTCTCCTTCCACTGGATGAAGTAAAGATTCATCCTTTCTCTCATCAGAGCTCATCAAATCCATGTCTTGTACTATACTTTCGCTATATTCAACAATACCCACTTCGTTATTCACATCATCATCCACTAACCTCTGTTCCTCAAGCCGATCACTGCTTGAATCAGACCATAACTCACTAAAATGCTTAGGACCATAAGGAACATCGGAGCTAGGTTCGATCCAGCCTGGACTACCCGATTGAACAGACCCATCTTCATCGTTTGCCTCCACACGAGACAAACCACTCTGGTTCTCAAGAGAGAAGTGATCAAACCTAATCATACCTCGCGTGACATCTTCAATCTCCTCCAAGTTCCTCGAGTTATCATCCTCCGTTGTAGATCTCGAGCTCTGAAGTATTTCCCAGTCTTGAATCTCTCCTTCCATGTCAAAGTTAGGTTTTTTTTTTCGATCCAATTTTTGGAGAAAGCTTTGTGTTGGAGCAAAACAGAACCGATACGCTTCTTTGTGTGTGTGTGATCGATCACAGAAACATTTGGTCGTGGTGATGACGTGGCGTGGTGTGATTGGATTAAGGATGAAGTCAAAAGAGTGGTTTCGTTGACGTGTGGGTTTATGATAACTATTTGGATTGAGAGTGTATTGTGTTACGGTGGGGTGAGAAGTAGAGGATCTTCAACCGCTTTTTGCTTATTAGATATGCTAGACTTGAAAATGGAGGGAGAGGAAGCGAACACGTCAATGGATGCATTTATTTAATAAGAGACATCAAAATTCATTGATTTCTCTCATACCAAAACTAAATCCAAAAGAATGTGTTTTTACCATTTTAATTAATTGATAATTTAATTACAATCCGCATAATTGATATTTAATATTGATGGAATCCTAACTTTTTCTATATATATTGTTTAGTGTTAATTATTAGAATATGAGCTTATAACCAAAAATTAATTGTCAATGAGTGAATTGACTCATATAACTTACTCCCTCCGTTATTTTTTAAGTGATGTTTTAAGTTTCTAATTTTGTTCTTAAATAGATGATGTTTTCAATTTTTAATGTCAAATTAATTGTTTTTATTGGTTTTGACGATTTATATTCTGTAGATTGTTTTTTTATTGGTTGATTAGATAATAAATGATGTTTTAGTTTAGAAATAAACAAAAATTACATGATTTCTTAATCTATGTGCATTCTCTTAAAACATCACTTATAAAAGAACGGAGGGAGTATATACTAGTCAATATTTCTTGTTCATTCCAATGTGTGATTATTATCCCCAATACATCTTCCTCGAGATGATAATCGAGCATGAGATTAAAAATACAAATATCGATCAAATCCGCAAACGAGAAAGAAGATGAAGCATTAATCGCGATATTCATCAATCATGTTTTGATGAATCAAACCTTCAATTAGATAAATGAGCAAGAGACTAAAGATGCAAAAATCGATCAAATCCGCAAACGAAAAAGAAGAGGAAGCTTTAATCGAGACTTTAATTAGATAAATGAGCAAGAGATTGAAGATACAAAGATTGATCAAATCCGAAACGAGAAAGAAAAGCATTAATCGCTAGCAATATCAGGGTCGTCAACAATTGAAGAATCAACATGAATCATGAGAGAGAGAGATGATCCGTTACCTGAAAGTTTGGAATGAACGACATTAGAGAAAGTTGAAGAAGACTAGGGATTTACTGCATCATTAATCGCGAGCAATATCAGAATTGGAATCCATAGACGAATCAACATGAATCACGAGTGATAGAGATAAATAGTTACCTGAAATTTGGGACGAAAGACATTAGAGACGACTAGGGCTTACAGAGAAAAATCAAAAGAAATTGTAAGGCATCTCTCACAATAATAAACGACTAGCTTCTACATCTTTCATTTCTTAGTCTCGTTTTCCTTTTTGAGTTGTCTCAGCTATATATCACTTAGAAGATTGGATTTTGGGAGTCTTTGGTTCAAATTGTCGAAATATAAAGTTATCGCTCATGATTAAAAATTTCGAGTAGTTTCTGTTCTCTGAAAAAATAAATTTATCTCTATATTTAACCAAGTGAATTTTGGTCTAGTGGTTTTCACTTGAAAATTTACTCTCTAGGTGTAAGTCAATGATTAATTTTCCTCAAACACAAAATTCTTTAAATAACTAGGTTATAACCCCCGCTACGCGGGGGTTTAATTTTATTGATTTTTTTAATATAGTTTTTGGCTTAGTAATCCATTAATTACAATTGTGTTTCATTTTTTAAATTAGTTTTAGCATAAATGTTGTTTTATTTATATTTTTAGTATAATTTATGTTGGTTAAATTTGTTTTAAGAAAAGAAAAGTATATAGGATAAAAGTTGGTATAAAACATATTACAAATATTATGTATCATATTTTACTCAAATATATATATATATATATATATATATATATATATATATATATAAAGACTTCAAAATTTTAGTAATTATAATGATCTAATATCCAAACATCAAACTTGAAACATTAAAAATTACCAATCAACATTTAGATGAAAAGAAACAAACTAATAAACTTACACATGTTACATGTATATATTGTATACCTTTTATTTATTTATTTATTTTTCACATAATTCTTGATGGATTATTCTTTTCAAAAAATTTATTGATTTATCCCAATTATAAAATTTGTATTTTTCTTGCTTCAATTTATTGACATTTTTCAAATTTACAAATAATTTATTTCAAATAACAAACCAAATCAAGCCAAACAAAATTAATCCAAACCGAATTAAAATGAACCAAAATGAGTTTGATTAGAGACTTGATGTTTTATTAAATCGAAATAACCGAATCAAATTTAACTCGGCATCAAAATAAAATGTCAACCCCTAATTGTGATTAAGAAGGGATATTGGCCAATATGGTGAGACTAATAATGATATTGTTTTAAATATTCTAATAACAAAAGTTTTACATTTTTCTTTTTTGCATATGTTTTTTTAAGTTTACATTTTTCTTGTTTCCATAGCTATTATTTTTTAAAATTTTTTTTTATAAGTATCTTAATTTTCCATTGATATTATTTTATATATTCTAATAACAAACTTTTACATTTTTTGTTTTCCCATATGTTTATTTTTAAGTTTACATTTTTCTTGATTCCATATATATATTCATATATTATTTATTGTTTTTTCCTTTTTATAAGTATCTTAACATAGAAAATTATTGGAATCTAAAATTGCTAATTACTGAGATGGCTAATCATGATTTGTGTGTTAAAAGTTTTTGGATAGTTTAAGAAGTTTATAACTTCGACTTTTATGTAGTATAGAAGCTAGAAGTTTCGACTTAAGGTATGAAATTTTTATAGCTTTTAGAATTTCAAATTTATAAAATCATGGTCTCCAATAACTCTAAATTTATGAAGATTTTAGATTACTATTTACAAACACATAAACAAATAACATCAAACTTTGATAGAGTTTTGAAAAATCTTAAATTGAATAACAATAGAATCTTCATAATACTTACAAAATAATACGGACAATTACAAAAAAAAAAAATAGTCACCTGCCAGCTTTAATATAATTGTTATCATAATCGGTTAGATTTGGCAAACAAACACGCCAAACTATGGTTTCTGAAAAAAACTTTGCATGGTTAAAAAGATAATTCAAAAACAGAGAACTCAAATTAATTAAACGATAATAATATATAGAACCCTATATATAATTAACTTTTTTTTCTTTTTCTTTTCCTTTTTTGTTTTTCTTGTACTTCTTCTTCAATATATAATTATTTTCACTTTTTTTTTTATTTGATTTCTTTGTTTTCCACATGCGAACCACTTTTCATGCATATATTTTTTTTGTGCACCAAAATTTTATATCATAGCTAATCATCCTCAAAGGAGGGAAGAGTTACAAAGGGAGGAGCCAACGCAATCAAACTCCCTGAACCAAAAGCAAACCAATACATAAAAGAAAAGTAGATAGAAGGATAGATCAAAGCAATCATATCCCCTAAGCAATAATCGTCATCATGGCGTCCTTGAACCTTGATAACACTAGAGCGAAGAAGAGAGATGACCCCTTGGACAACACAAAACACACAAAGGGCTATGTTGTGCGAGATTGAATCTGCCACTAGGGCAACCAAATCAATCCTAAAATTGGCTGTCAAGAAAGAGGTGACAAAGCACCAAACTGAATAGTCGTTGAGATGCAAACCAACAAACGTGGTTCTAGGTTGAGAACAACCTGGATCTGCCAAAGACACAGGCAGGGGAACGCCGGAGCAGTATCCGGTAATCAATCTTCGCCGAATTTGGGCGGAATCCGAACCAACAAAAGTGGTTCTAAACCAGAAGCAACCTAGGTCTACCGGAGAAGTATCCAGTGTAGGTAGACGGAACCCGAAGAAGTATCCGGTGAACCGGTGGGTGAAGAAGTCGGAGATGGTGAAGGCGTGGCCAAAGGTGACCGGGGGAAGACGAAGTCGGTGGTGGGCGCAGATGGTGAAAAGTGCACGACATTAGGGCAGGCCAAAAAACTTGTTTGCATAACAAAACAAGCTTGCAGCCCAAAAAGCAATGGGCCACAACAACCTCCAGAAAGCCCAAAGATGGGCCAAGCCCAATTGAAACCCTTCCACTGAAATTGTAAAGTGGGGCTTTGACCTAACCCAAGCGAGGAGGATGACATGCGGCGGCGGCGGTTGACGGAGGCGAGAGGGTCACCGACCACGGAGATCAAGAGAGGGCGAAGAGCACCGGAAAGGGAAGTTGAGGAGACAACAACCATCGGCTTCACACGGGAGAGCCGATTCACGCGGCTGGGGAAAAAGACGAGAAAAGAGCTGACAGCGAAGTAGCTGCTGGATCTTTTGGTGGGAGGCGGAGCACGTCGAACCGTTGAGCCAAAGATCTGCAGAGAGATGCTACCAGATCTGCACTCGACGAGACGCAACGACATGATGGAAGATGGAATGAGGCAGAGAGGACGGGCTAAAAACTTGAAGAGCTTGAAAAACAAGAGACGAAACTCGTTTGGATTCTTCGGGAGAGGAGCGGAACAGCAAAGAGAAGACAACGTCCGACGCCGGCGAGCCACAGCTACACCGGCGCCGGAAGACGGTGGATTTTGTAGTGTCTCGGGAATATCGCCTGGGAGAGAAATCCTATTATCAGGGATTCTATTGAGTATTAAATCTATTTTCACATATTTTCATGCATATATTTAACATAAAGAAGTTAACAATATCCACACAAGGAAACAATTTAAAAGCTACATAAATTTTAGGATCAATAATACTTTGTAAGTGCTTCAAAAGTCACAATTGAATGAACATATACTCATTCATTAGTGTAACCTGAAATACAAATCAAACAGTCTAAAATCAGCAAAATTAAACAATATTTGTTTATAGTTCATAGAGAATTAAATCAAAAAATATGTAGCACGAGAAAAAAAAAATCAAAGCCGCATAATAGTAAATTTGTTTGAAACTGAATACTAATTGTATGGTCGAAGTTCAGTATTTATAGTTTAATGTCTAGGGTAAACCGTCATAATTACCTACTGTAATTTTACATTTTTAATTAGAAAATTTCCAAAAAAAAATATATTCGCTGCGTAATAATATTAAAATCTATACTTTACATTTTTCTTATTTCTATATTTTGTTATTTCAAAAATTCAGATTTTTCTTCTTTCCATATATAGTTTTTTTTTCCTTTTTAGTAATATTTAAGTATAGAAAATATTAAAATTTAAAAATGTTAATTAAGGTGGTGTGTAAAAATGTTAACCGACGAAATGTCTAATCCCGATTGGTCGTTTAAAATCTCATGTGGACGGCCTCATGAGCTTATAGCCTTTTATATAGTATAAGATCAATAATACCTTGTAATTGCTTTAAAAGTCACAATTGAATGAACCTAGACTCGATTCATTAATGTAACCTTAAATACAAATCAAACAGTTTAAAATCAGCAAAATTAAACAATATTTTTATAGTTCATAGAGAAATAAATCAAAAATATGTAGCACGAGAAAAAAAAATCAAAGCCGCATAATAGTAAATTCGTTTGTAACTGAATACTAATTGTGTGGTCGAAGTTCAGTATTTATAGTTTAATGTGTAGGACAAATCGTTATAATTACCTTCAGTAATTTTACATTTTTTAATTAGAAAAGTTTCAATTAAAAATATATTCGCTGCATAATAATATTAAAATCTATTTTTACATTTTTCTTATTTCTATATTTTGTTATTTCAAAAATTCACATTTTTCTCCTTTCCATTTACTGTTTTTTCCCCTTTTTATTAATATTTAAGTATAGAAAATATTAGAATTTAAAAAATATTAATTAAAGTGGTGTATAAAAATGTTAACTGACGAAGTGTCTAATCCTGATTGGTCGTTTAAAATCCTAGGTGGACGGCCTCATAGGCTTATAGCCTCGACTTTTATATAGTATAGATTGTCACTTAGCTAGTCGAAATAGTACTATGTTTTAAGCCTATTAAAACACATGTGAATGCACATAACCCAAGAATAATTAATTCGGTTATAAAATCGGAATAATTTCCTAATTATAATTTAAAAAAATGAAAAATGATTGGTTGAACCCTTTTAATAACCTCAATTTTTCTAACCAATCAGAATCTGACACCTAATAAAAATAAACAATAAAAAAAATTTTATCTTATCCATATAAGAAGTTAACATAATTCACTAAAATACATCATATAACAATATATCATTGGTGTTAGAATTTCTATGTCGGTTTGGGTTTATAAGAGAAATATTAGGATTTAATGTTACAATAATAAACGAAGTGATATATCGGTTTGAGTTTATAAGGAAGTTAAGGTTTACATTTTACAATTAAACGAGGTTAAATGTCGATTTGGATTTATAAAGAAGAGTTCGGGTTTAGATTTTAAAATTAAACGAGGTTATATGTCAGTTTGGATTTATAAGAGGCGGTTAGAGTTTATATTTTACAATTACACGAAGCTAAATTTCCATTTGAGTTTATAAAATATGATTAGAGTTTAGATTTTACAATTAAACAAAATTATATGTCGGTTTAGGTTTAATAAACAAAATGGTTAGAAATTAAATTTTATAATAAATATGTCGGTGTTATAAAAGAATGGTTAGCGATTTGATTTTACAATTAAATGCATTAATTTTATTTTTATTCAATGAAAGATTTTGATTTGGTTAGTTAAAGAAGGTATGGTGTATTTCTTCAGTCTTTATTTATATGGTTGAGCAATCTGACGGCTAAGATATATCAATTGTTAATCTTCCGTGTCTTTTTACGATAAATGATTCTGAAGAGAGGTCACGCTAATTTGTGTCCCTTTCTGATAAGAAGATACACAAAATTTGAGTGATCCGACATTTATCTACATCTTATAAAATGCTAACGAATGTTGAAATCTCATGAAGTTGGCTACACTACATACATAAGACCATAAGGTAAGCAACAAAGACTGCTCGGAACTGACAAGTGACATCTTTATGCTTAGCTGCCTTCTCCTTTCTACCATAGGTGAACATCAATCACACTATTTCCATCTACAAAGCACCGTAACCGGCCCAGAGAACATAATATGACAATGCAACAACAGAGCTTGGCCAAGGGAATCATACACCCCCTCCTAACATACCATATGATCCAACACAATGCAACACAGGACTCAAAAACCACGAGATGGTGAGAGATGGTGACATTACAAGCATTCAACATGGAACAAGATACCATATCTGTATAAATCAATGACCGATGTTTCGAGTTAAACGGGAGATGCAAGAGACTATATATCATTAAGGTAGAAATATGTTCTTCCTTATGAGGTCCCTAGTTCACTTACTCACTACTTGTGGAAAGTTACAGCTTACATGAGGATTTCATCTCTCACATAGGAGTTTACTCGAAACGACTCCTCGCTTAGTTCCTCGGGAAGTTTCTCTAGACCCGGTGAGCCACATGAATATCAACACAATGCAACACATCAACACATGTTTCAAAGAATGCAAATGGTGAAATTACAAGCAATCGCCATGGAGAATCAATTAGTTTCCATCTTAAGCCAATATCAATAACATTCACATACATTGAAAAAAATCACCAAAAAGACTCTAAATTATAAAGAAATTAGGTTTCAATCTCCAAAAACATCTTCAATTCGAGAACAAGGCAAAAACATTCTAAATTTGTGCAAAAACAAATCAAATCAATACCAAAGCAAAATAACACTCAAATCAAATGTTTTAGTGATCCAAAAACATGAAATCGAAACGAAACTTGTTATCAGTTGTTACATAACACAAACATTAAAATCCCAGGACTTACACACATTACATAGGTTTCTCCACAAATTAAATAAAGATTAGGACAAAAACTGAAATCTTAAAGAGGAAATTAACCGGATTTAGTTGATATCGGTGTCATCGAAATCATCCTCGAATTTGTTGAAGAAATCGGCGTCGGCGAGCTTGTTATCTGAAACAAGTCCTCCTTCGTTGAGAATCTCCATGGCTTCGAGGTCATCAACGTCCATGGCCATTGAAGAGCCTGCATCATCCATCTCCGACAACATATCCAGCTGCATCGGCCTCATTTCTCTCTTCTTCTTGTTCGTCTTCTTCGGGAAAGATCTAAAATGTTGTTACAGTGACTGTCGAAGTTTTGATATTCAGGTCATTTTGGGTTTAGGCCCAATTTTTGTGGACCATCATTATCTTTAGGCCCAATTTTTGTGGACCATCATTATCTTTAGGCCCAATTTAGGTGGCTCATGTAGCAATTGAATAAGCTACAAAAAAAAAAACAAAAAAAAATTATTCGTAAATAATTATATTGTCTGTGGAAGCCCCTTTGGCCCATTGGTTGACTAAGGGTTGATTAATGCTTCTACACCAAAATGTATGGGGTTCGAGTCCCAGGTATTGCGATTTATTAACAAATTTGCAGATTAATGGAGGCAAGTGTGCAAGAGATCTCCAGCGATGTACAATTATAGCCGTTCGCCAGGATTCTACGCAGAGAAGGAAGTGTTGCCAGGTCGTGGATCATTGAAGGTATTCATCAAGATTACGAAAAAGGAAGTGTAGTCTGTCGTGAATCTAGTAAGGGTTGGAAGGAATTGTCAGTTGTAGAATCGTCTATGTAATAGTTCTCATAATTTGCAATTAATAATAAATCTAGACGACAAAAAAAAAAAAAAAATTATATTGTCTGTAAAAAATTAAAATCAAGATATAATAGTTTTCTGGTTAGTAAAAATTGGGTAAAAAAACTATCAAAAATTAAAATGTAAAAAAGTATCAAAATAATAATTTTTACTACTTAACTATCACTAATTAGGTCAAAATCAAATTTAGGATTAGGTTATTTAATCTCAATTATAGTTAAGAGCCTGGGGGTAAAGGAAGCAAGCTACACGTTGGTATAGAGAAAATTATAGTGAAGATGTTCTATATGGGAAAGGAACTTGAGGATGAAAAGTCTCTTGCTGCACAAAATGTTCAACCAAATTCCTTGGTTCATCTTATACGTAGTAAAGTACATATGTGGCCATGGGCACAGAGGCTACCTGGCGAAAATAAATCTTTGAGACCTCATGGGGCATTGAAGAAGAAATCTGACTTATCTACTAAAGATGGCCATGTTTTCTTGATGGAGTAAGATGAACTTCTATTTGAGACTTTTGTTTAGTTTAGTTTTTTAATGGATGCTACTTTGTGGCTCTTGCGGTTATTTTGATCTATATCTATCAGTAGGAAAAGACATTGATTGGACGTCAATATTTTTCTGCATTGATTTTTGTAGGTACTACGAGGAGAGGCTGCTGATGCTCAACAATGCAGGAATTGGTGCAAATTTGTGCACATATTATCAGAAGTCATCCCCAGAGGATCAACGTGGCAACTGGCTGCACAATCAAAGTGACACCTTAGGGAATGTGATGATTCTAGAACCTGGGGACAAGTGTCCTTTCCTTGGGGAGATACATGTTGGTTGCAGTCAGTCATTTGTTGAAACAAACATGTATAAAGCACCTATTTTTCCACAGTGATTGCAGTCAACAGATTACTTGTTGGTTCGGTCACCTAAAGGGAAGCTCTCTCTAAGGCGTATTGACAAGATAGTCGTTTTTGGAAAACAGGTTTGCCTTTCGCAAGATTTCTCTCTCAGAATTTTGGTCCAGGGAAGGTCCAACTACATATATATACAAATTAGTGGTAATTCTGGTGGGGTCTTCGAACCCGGATTTGAGCCGGAAGGTATACTGGTTTAAGGAACAAATGCAGAGTCTGAAGAAGAAAACTTGAATATGATGAACTCTAGAGACCAAGTTCAAGCTGACAATAATATGTGTGTGCCTTTCTTTGCCAATCTGTTGGAGTCTTTTGTGAGAATCATTTTAGTGTAAATGATGAAGCTGCTGGAGTAAAGAAGATAAAGCGACTTGAAAACGACGCCCTTGGGCGCTTTAGCAGACTGGAATTGCGCTAGAGGGATTTGGGGGATGAGGTATGGTTAGATAGTATAATATGGGACTCAGATAAAGAGTTGAGCAGAATCTAAACTAATTTTTGATCTTCAAGATGAGCAAATGGTCTTTGAAATTTTGGATAACGAGGAAAGCAAAAATCTTCAACTTCATGTTGGAGCTATGATTACAAGTTTTTTTTGATGAAATTATAGCCACAGAAGTCATGTAAAGCTAAGGTAGTTATCTAAAGACATGTTCTAGGCTTCTAGCTAAATTATAACAGTTTCTCTTTAGATTAATATACTACTACTCTCATGAAATTGTTGTAGAATTGATGACTACAAGTTTTGTTTTCACCGCTAAATATGCATACTAGGGTCCGAAGTACTCTAAATCTTCGCAAATTTCTCGTCCAACAAAGGTAAAGATCTCCAAAATCAAAATTTTGTACATCCAAATTAAAATCGATAAATTGTAGACATTTTCAGCAAAGAGTGGGCAAAAAATTGGATCTCAGGAAAGAAATTTTTCAATCGGTGATATTGAGAAGAAACTAGAAAAAAACAAATTTTGTTTTTTCTAAAAAAGCTTTCGCAACTCACGCCATTTTAGACGAAATTCTTGCCGTTTCTCAAGCCTTTGCTTTTTATTGATTATTGGAATGAGAGTAAATCAACTAAACCAAGAGACTTAAGTTTATTTAATTCTAAACCAATATCGTAATAAGGTAACGTCTTATGGATTGTGAGTTTGGCGAAGTGGTGCTTTTGTTTATTAGTGTGGAGTCATGATGTTTGCTGTGATTTTGAGATTATAAAATTAGACTTGGGATTAGTTTTTTTTTTTTTTGTCGGCCATTTCATATTTATTTATATGAAAATCCAAATGGGTATTACATGAGATGAAACAGAAGCTCAATTCCTCCTACATTTACAACTTCATTTGAAATTAAGCCCACTTATCCTAATCCAATTTTAATGATAAGGATAAGAGTGAAAGTGCCACGTGTGGATACGTGTCCAAACGAGAGGAGGAGATTTGCCACGATCGTCACCAGCCACATCCACGATCTAGCACAGCGCCGTCGCCGGACTTCAGATCCATCATCGCTGACTCCTTCTACAGGCTCCACCGCTGCCGATCTGCAAGATTTTGCTGCTACCGTCTTGAAATTTCCAGCCATAGACTCAAATGAATCCTTAGATTTCAACTCCAAAACTCCTCAAAGAAAACTCCGCCTCAAGACCTCCAAAGGTCCACTTCATACCAGAAGGTGAAATAAGTTGACGAAGATATTACTTCTTCAGAAGAGAAGAGCCAAGCTGACAGTGAAGCAAACATAATCTTTCAAATAGCAAACGGGGTTTGAATTTGAAATCATCTAGAAAGAGAGAACAAACAAAATCCAGATCCTATACAAAGATAAGTCTGGAAAACTTCAATCCGACCATAACACTGGCTAAGCCGGAGATGAAAAACAACATAAGATCGGAAGACAAAAGAAGAGATTGGCTTTTTCTCTCTCTGAAAGTTTCGAGAGAGTTAAGAGAGAGAGAAGCTGCTTACTCTAGTCAAAAAGACCAATTAAACTTGGGATTAGTTTTTGAACCAAGATCCACCAATTTCCTACATAAAATGCTACGAAAGCAATTATTTTCTTTGACATAGACTATACTTTTGTTTGAATCATTATTGGTGAGGATTAATTTAATATAATGGTTTTTATGAAAAAAAGTTATAAAAATCATATTGATATATAAATTCAGTTAATATTAGATACTTAAATACATATCACTTAACAAACTTACATTAAAAAAAATACTCCGCAGCGTAGCGCGGATTTCGTCCTAGTACGGTAAATTCTTACAACAAAATGGTTAATTCAGATATCTAATTCAATATCCGACATTTTTCTGCATACGTTGGAATAAATTAAACTATCACAACCGAAAGTCGTAAAATACAACTGATGGATGCGATTAGCCTCTCTCTTCCGCTTAATAATGAACATAAATCTTGTCTCAGTTTTATAGACAGATGAGTTAATTTTGTACATGGTACTATGGTCATATCTATTATGGGCTAGTTTTACATTAGTTCCACACCAATTGGGCTTGGAGATACTAATAGATATCTCGAAGCAATAGAATTTTAACTGATGAAGCCAATTCTCTCGCAATACACGGCTTTTTAGCCCATGTACTAAGCCCAATTTAAATTAATTCTTAGTCACGTTTAGGAAAAAAAACACATGACAAATAAGCGGAGCACACAATATTATTTGATTAAGATCAACGATAGAATCGGACCGGCCTGTATATAATGTTTACAAATAGAAATCATGTTTTCATAATGTCTGTCTCTCCAAATGTGTAGTCTTCTCGTGATCAAAGTAAATGACGTTCTTGGTTACTTTTTGAAAGTAATTAATGTATGTGGTGGGATCATCTTCTTGTACGATTAGTATCATTATGAGGACATTTATGATTCACCGGAGAAGTTTAAATAACTTCTCCCACTTTTTCAATTCTACATGAAACAATAATACAGTACTAAAGACTAAAGAGTGATACTTTAGTTTGAGTCGTTCTTGTATACATAATAAAGCTTGAAACCGTTCTAATCAAAAACTAATTTTTCTTCAACCAAATAGTTAGAATATTTAGTTACAATATCTGACTTGGTCGAATTCTAGTATAAAATAATCTAGAATCCATAGGTACGCCAAGTTTTTTAGTTTGACGTCACAGACTCACAGTGGAATTGTTTTCACATTAATCATTGGAATATTGGAAGCTTTTCTAAGCATATGATACATTGAATTTCTTTATTAGAAAAAAAAAAAGTCAAATCAACAAGGAAAATTCAATTTCGTGAAAGTCTTACGGTTTTGTTTCTAGCTGTACGGTAACGTATAGTTATTAATTATTAGCCACTAATATTGACTATGTATTTTTATTTTATATCATTATTGTTTTGCCCAACTTCTGTTCAACTCCACCAAATATGAAGCAACAATGGCTGAATTATGAATATCACAGTTGGAGTGAGTCTCTTTGAATATTATTTTAACTTTGCATATAAAGGTGTTATGTTCTTACACTAATTTGAAAATGAGGAACATTTTTGCATCTAGATGCTTTATTTAGATATTGATTAAGAGATACAAAGGTCCAA